AAGCCTTCCCCCCCAAAAATAACCTAACACGTTGACCCAAGGTTGCGATGGAGAAGAAGAAACCTAACACGTTGACCCAAGGTTGCGATGGAGAAGAAGAAACCCAACGCGTTGACCCAAGACTGCGATGGAGAAGAAACCCAACGTGTTGACCCAACGTTGCGATGGGGAAGAATCAAACCAATGTGTTGACCCAAGACTGCGATGGAGAAGAAGAAACTCAACGCGTTGACCCAAGGTTGTGATGGAGAAGAAGAAACCCAACGCGTTGACCCACGGTCACCATGGAGAACAACCCCAACACGTTGACCCACGGTCACGATGGAGAACAAACCCAACGCGTTGACCCAAGGTCGCGATGGAGAAGAATCAACCCAACGCGTTGACCCAAGGTTGCTATGGAGAAGAACAAACCCAACGTGTTGACCCAAGGTCGTGATGGAGAAGAATCAACCCAATGCGTTGACCCAACGTTGCGATGGGGAAGAATCAAACCAATGTGTTGACCCAAGACTGCGATGGAGAAGAATCAACCCAACGCGTTGAGCCAAGGTTGTGATAGAGAACAAACCCAACACGTTGACCCAAGGTTGTGATGGAGAAGAATCAACCCAACGCATTGACCCAAGGTTGCGATGGAGAAGAACAAACCCAATGGGTTGACCCAAGGCTGCGATGGAGAAGAACGTGGCCAAGACAGGACTGACCCTGGGGTTGAAAATTCTGCTCTTACCGGTCGCTTCGATGTATTCGATGCATCTCTCGATAAAGACTGGGATGGGTTTCTCCGGCGTCACGACGGTGGTCAAAGGCACCCCAAAATAGTTGCTCTCCCACGTGGTCTTGGTGATGGACGGCCGAGGTTTGGGCTTTGGTTTCTGTGGGAGAGAGCGGAGTTGAGGTCGATCACCCAAAAATTGATTTAAATCCGCAAACTGACGCGTTGATGCCGAGATGGGAAAAAGATTATTTTTATTTCTTAAAAAATTGAAATATCGCAACAGAAATTATTGGGGGAGGAGTGGATAAGGCCTAAGACACCCCATCCTTGAGCTCCCATCACGAGCGGGCGCATCCGGCCGGAGCTTTAATTAACTTAACGAGCAGAAAATCAACACGTGGTTGGTTAGTTGGAGAAGGGAAACCGAGGAAGCTCTGGGTGTGACGGAGGAAGGACCGGGCTCGTTCCCGGAGGCTGCAGGCATCGCTCCAGCCTCATCCTCCTCTTCTTCCTCCTTCCTGCCCAGCAGCTCCTCAGGGGCGGCTCCGCCTTTGTTTCCCGTGGAAATTAATAGCGACTCTTAATTAGCGTGATTGGCTTGGCAGCGGCGGGCGGCTGTGAGCAGGACGTTCCCCGCTTCCCGTCCTCTCCGCTTCCTCGCGGACGTATGTACGGCCACGGTGTCATGGCTGGACGTATAGTGTGTACGTGCCGGTATAGATACATATAGAGCAACGCGCATACGTGCGTGTACGTGTTGCGTGTGCATGTACATACACATATATATATAACACGTGTATATACGGCTCTGCAAGTATAGAACATGTATAATATGTGCACGCGTATATAATACACGCCTGTATATAACATATAGGCACATATTTGTACATATATGTATGTACACATGTGCTTGGGCGTGCATATATGTACACGTACGTATATAATGTGCGTGCGTGTATAATGTATGTGTGCACACGTACATATATAATGTACGTATATGTGTGTATACGTGCGCGTATGTGTGCACGTATGTATTAATGTATGTGCGCACACAGCTGCACGTATGTATATAACGTGTACATATGCCTGCACAGATGTATATGCGTGTGTACGTGGCGTATGTATGTGAGTGTGTGTGTATAGTATGTATATAAGCACGTACAAGTGCGTCTGTAGCGTGTGTCCACAGCGGACGTGCACTGTGCACGTGTCTATACGTCTGCACCTATAGATATAATGTAGGCATGTGTGTATGTTTATGCAACGTATGTACATTTACTGTGTGTATAATTACCATACGCGTATATTATATGTACGTGTACGTATGTGACACCTGTGACGTATATTTCACATGTATGTAACATGGATGTATTTGAAGGTGTAACACGTATGTATATCCACGTGCCTGTTTATATGCCATGTGTATGTACAGAATGTCTGTGTACGTATATAACACGTATATTGCATGTATGTGCATGCGTACGCACGCTTCCATCCCTCTGCAGCGGGACCTTCGGCACGCCAACCATCGGCCACCGGCACACCAACCGTTGGTAATCAGAACACCAACCGTTGGCCTTGAACAGAAGGTTGGCCATCGGCCCACCAACCGCTGACCTTCAGCACGCCAACCATTGGCCATCATCATGCCAACCACTGGCCATCGACGTGGCAGCCGTTGGCCTTCAATGGGAGAAGGCTGGCCATCGGCACGCCAACCGTTGGCCATTGGTGCACCAACAGGAGAAGGTTGACCACCAGTGGACCAACCGTTGACTATCAGGACGCCAACCACTGGCCATCGACATGGCAACTGTTGGCCTTCAACAGGAGAAGGTTGGCCAACAGCACACCGACTGTTGACCTTCAGCACGCCAACCATTGGCCAGCAGCACACCAACTGTTGGCCTTCAATGGGCAAAGGTTGGCCATCGGCACGCCAACCGCCAACCTTCAGCATGCCAACCACTGACCATCGATGTGGCAACCGTTGGCCTTCAACGGGAGAAGGCTGGCCATCAGCATGCCAACCATTGGCCATTGGTGCACCAAATGTTGACCTTCAAAAGGAGAAGGTTGACCACCAGTGTGCCAACCACTGACTATCAGCACGCCAACCATTGGACATCTACGTGGCAACCGTTGGCCTTCAAAGGGCAAAGGCTGGCCATTGGCGCACCAACCCTTGGCCATCAGCCCATCAACCGCTGGCCTTCAACAGGAGAAGGTTGGCCAACGGCACATCGACTGCTGACCTTCAGCAGGCCAACCACTGGCCAGCAGCACAGCAACTGTTGGCCTTCAACGGGCAAAGGTTGGCCATCGGCACGCCCACCATCGGCCACCGGCACACCAACCGTTGGCCTTCAGTGTTTGAAGGTTGGCCACTCGTGCACCAACCGTTGGCCATCAGCATGCCAACCACTGGCCATCGAAGTGGCAACCGTTGTCCTTCAATGGGAGAAGGCTGGCCATCGGCATGCCAACCGTTGACCATTGGTGTACCAACCGTTGACCTTCAACACGAGAAGGTTGACCACCAGTGGACCAACTGTTGACTATCAGGACGCCAACCACTGGCCATCGACATGGCAACTGTTGGCCTTCAATGGGCAAAGGCTGGCCAGCGGCACACCAACCATTGGCCATTGGTGCACCAACCCTTGGCCATCGGCCCACCAACTGTTGGCCTTCAACAGGAGAAGGTTGGCCAACGGCACACTGACTGTTGACCTTCAGCACGCCAACCATTGGCCAGCAGAGCACCAACCCTTGGCCTTCAATGGGCAAAGGCTGGCCAACCACTGGCCTTCAACAGGAGAAGGCTGGCCATCGGCACACCAACTGTTGGCCATCAGAACACCAACCGTTGGCCATCAATGGGCAAAGGTTGGCCATCAGCACACCAACCACTGACCTTCAGCACGCCAACCGTCGGCCATCGGCCCACCAACCCTTGGCTTTCAATGGGCAAAGGTTGGCCATCAGCGCACCAACCGTTCGCCAATGGCACGCCAACCGTTGGCCATCGGCACGCCAACCACTGGCCGTCGACATGGCAACCGTTGGCCTTCAATGGGCAAAGCTGACCATCGGCGGACCAACCGTTGGCCATTGGCCCACCAACCGTTGGCCTTCAATGGGCAAAGGTTGGCCATCGGCACACCAACCATTGGCCATTGGCACACCAACCGCTGGCCATCGGCCAGCCAACCGTTGGCCATCAGCCAGACAAACCCTGGCCTTCAACAGCCAAAGGCTGGTCTTTGGCACGCCAACCATTGTCCAAAGAGCCCAAAAACTACTCAACCACGCAGCACCTCAAACCAGTGGCCTCTTCCAAAACCAGTTTCACCCTCTACAGACCAGATCCACCATCATGCCGAAAAGCGGCAGCGAATCCAGGTGGAGTTAAAACTGGTTTTGTACAACCACGGAAGCACAATGCATCTAGAAGAGAACCACCCAAGAGCGGCAACAGACAATAATTTTGCCGCGTCCTCAACTTACCAGCGTCTTTTCTGGTTAAACTCCAATTCTGCACCAATAATCGTGACTTTACTACATTCATCCACGTAAATAAGAGAATTTTCAAGGCAGACAGAGGCCACACGTCAAAGTGCCCACGTTTTGGTTAATTTTACCGCGAAATTCGTAATTTCTGAGCGTGGAATGAACTTTCTCAGAAGGATAAAGCCATCAGAGCCCACCGCCCGTGGTGGAAATGATAGAGGTGATTTTGGCATAGGACTGCGAGTTCATGCAGTCCACGCCAGTGCTGAGTTAATGCACAATAAAAAAAATAAAGAGATTCTGTGCTCACCCTGCTCCTCAATTGATCAGTAAATACACAAAAAACACACGAGGAACGCGACGGCAGCGGCTCCCGACCTCTGCCCCGTGAATCATGCCTCCTACCTTCGTCGTCGTCCTCCTCAGGCTGCGCAGGATGTTCCTCCTCCTGGGATCTTCCCCGTCGGTCGTTTCGTAAGGGATAACGGCGTTATCGCCTTTATACCCTTGAGAAGTTTGATCTTCTTCTTTTTTTCGGATGGGTCCCAACTCATCGTCGCTCCCAACGCTGAAACTGGTTCGGTAACTAGCAAACCTGCCCAACCTCGTGCAGCGCGTCCGATATAACACGGGTTTGCTAACAACCGACACTTTCCGACCCCGTTCCAAGGAGCTGGTGTCCATCTCGCTGTCGGAGCCGTTACCGCTACCGTTGGATTGGGTTTTGTTAATATTTCGGATGGTGATGATCTTGCCTTGGGTGCTGTCGTGAGGCACGGAGTAAATATTCTCCTCTTCATTTCTAGGTTTAACCACGGCGTCCATCGGCTCGGCGTAATCGGAAGGATCGAAGCAGTCGGTGGGCAACCAGCTACTAGAAGATACGGATTTTCTCTGCCCGTCCCGATGGCCCTGCTCCAAATACGACAGGTCCCCCTTAGTAATATCGAAATGTACGGGGGGCTTTGGTTTCACCGGAGGAGGTACTTTGTTGTTCAACTTGCTTTCAAAAGTGCTCATGACGGAAATGAAAGACAAGCCGTCGTTCCCCTCCAGTTCCATGGAAAGTTTCGAGTGGTCTTTGGGCAGGGCGGGGATGGACGTATCCTCTCGGAAAGGGCTGTAGGTTGGAGGTTCGACGTCTTCCTCCGAATCCTGCAAGTTGGAGTTACAAAGAGGAGAACCGGCTCGAGGCGAGTTGAAGACTTCCTCTGTCGTGCTGCAGGCTTCGGCCACGTTGTCGTACATGTGGGTGGCTTCGATGATGTTTTTTTTCTCCACCACGTCTTTAAAAAACGAGTGGAAAATTTCCAACTTGTGCTGGGGTTGGCTACAAGGGATGGTGGTGAACTTGCCGTCGATTTCTTGGGCGATCTCTTCGCCTTCGGTGAGCTGTTCTCTGCTCAAATCGTTGTCCAAAATGTCGATGGAACCGTCCGTCAATGCCACGATTTGGATGGGGATGATATCTTGCACCTCGCAGAGAAAGGCACGGAGCATGGCCAACGACGCTTTGCGTTTGGCCGAATAAAAAACGATGTAACCGTGAACGAGGCGGTTTTTCCGAACGCTAAAAGAGGAATGGTAGGAAAGGAGGGAGAGCTCCACGCGCCTCTTGTGTGGCCCGATGGATAACTCGAGGAGGACGGAGCTGCTGCTGCCGCACTGGGAAGGTCGGTAGGTTTGGGATTGCAGGATGGGTAAGAGGATGTCGTCCACGTTGAAGGGATCTCCGCACATCAAGCACATGACGATGCGTAGGTCGACGTCCGCCAAGTCTTTGATGCTGGAGGTGGAGCTGACGAGGTTTAAGTTGCGTTTGGAGTCCAACAACCCCTTTAAAACTTGGCTGATTTGCTTCTCATTGATGTTCCGGCCGTACCCGATGCCGGCAGACGCAGGGTCAAGAAAGACGCACTGGAGCTTGCTGGCGATCTGTTGGCCTTGTTGGATCAAGCTGTGGAGCGTCTCGCCACTGGTGTCCCCCCTTTTATTAACGAGGATGAGCGTCAGTGGCAGGTGAACCAAATGATTCTCCCTCCGGCCGATGGTGGACTCGCGGCTTTTTTCGATGCTTTCCACCACGTAGGAGAGCGATTCCTTGGAGTTGTAAAGGCAGAGACAACCGTGAGGTTGAAAAGTTGGCGTCTGGAAAGAGTTGACGGGGAGTCGGACGTTGCCCTCGATGGGTCTCAGGGATAATTCGTACATCTTACCTTCGATCACGTATTTATCGTCGTTGGTGCAGAGCGCCCGGATCTCGTTGGCCAACTCCCGTGCCAAACCGTCCTTGCCCAGGATCACCAAATTGATCCTGTCGATGTTGGAATCTGAAAGGAAATTCTTCTGGTTGCGTTCGGAAGGTCTGATGAAACGAGAGTTGATGAGTTGCTCGATTTTCGAATCGACGCAAAGCGGGCAGCTGGGACACGTTTCCTTCGTCGGGTGGTAGACGAAGTGGATGTGCTTCAAAATCAGAGCATCGCGCTCAGCCTGTAGCTTCTGCAGAGCTTTGAACCTTTGCTCTTCGCCCAAAACGTCCTGAATTACACCCATTTTCTCCTTGCTGGGTTTCGCGTCCAGCTCCAGTTCGTAAAACAGCTCTGAATATTCCAAGAGAAGCTCTTGAAACTCCTCCTTGGCTTTTTCGATGATCTGTTTTTGGTGCTTGCTGTAGATATCCATATAAATAGACTCCTCCAGCCACATATAAAAATCCTCGTTCATAATAAAACTCCGCGCTTCCTCCCAGGGTTTCCCGGGCGTGATGAAAGGAGACGTCTCCAAATTTTCTTTGAAAGCTCTTCTCATTTCCGCCCTTTTCCGCTCGTTCCTCAATTTTTCTAAATGAGCTTCGTAGAGCTGCTCGGCGGGTTGGGTTTCCATCAGGTCGAAGGGAATTCGTTCGTTTTCCATGTTGTCGATGTGGCTCGTTGCATCCCAAGGGGTCTCTTCCAGGACGACAAACCATTTGGAAAAATCCGCTTTCGTCTCCAAGAGTTTCTCCACTTTGACGCAACTCAAATGATCGATTTCATCCAGATCGGGGATGAGAGCTTCGAAGGCTTGAGGAAGCATGGCGAGATACATCTTCCGACGTCGTTCGATGTGTTCTTGCTTCAGGCGGTGGACGTGTTGCAGAAAAAGCTTTTTAGCTTTCTGCGTTCCTTCCAGGTAGACATAATCCTGATATTCCGGAGAAGATTGCATCTTACGGCTGACGTTAGACCACGTCTCGTTGTGGTTTTTGACGATGCGGCTGACCAGCCACTCGTATTTATCTTTAGCAGCGGCGATTTGTTGACTTTGTTGTTTCAACGCTTCGAAATAGGGGATGATTTTCGTCTTCCCCCGGCTTTTATCGATCAGCTGCACTAAAGTGCTAAAAGCCAAGTCAATATTCACATTGGATCGAGCCGACGTCTCCACCACCTGGAGATTTTTTTTGCTTAAGGCAAAAGTATGTGCATCCCTAATGTACCGCTCCACGCCTTCGTCGCACTTGGTCAAGACCACCACGATGGGTTTTTTTGTTTTCGCCAGTTGATTGTAAAGATTCGAAACGAATTTCAGCTGATCGTCAAAGTTCCTGTTCATCCCCCTGCTCACGTCGATGCAAAGAAGGAAACCATCCACCAGCAGCTTGCCATCCGGCATCTGTTTTTGTTCAAAGTCCTGTTCCAACCCAAGTTGATCAGTGCAAAAATACATGAGTTTTTCAGCCGACGCCAATTTGGTGGCGGCAGCTCTTTTGATATAAGGCTGCAGGGCCGTACTACGATGAGGCTGAAAAGTCTGGTCGTCGATAAATTCCGTCTGTTCCACCACGTGCATTTTACATTCCACGCAGTCCTCCAGGGAACGGACGACTTCCCCCCAGTAGAGAAAATGGTCATTATTGACCACCCTTCCCCCAAAGTCACTGGTACTGAGAACCGAAGTATGGTCCAAATGAAATTCATCGGCGCTGGGTCGTACGAAACGGTTACAAAGGCAGGATTTCCCAATGCCGCACTGGCCTTTCTCTTTTTCCGTCCCGGATAATCCCACCACGCTAATATTATAGGTGGGAATGCGAACATCTTGCTTTCTTGCCATCATCATCGTCCGCACATCCTGTCCCAATCGACCGCTTCCAAGAGGATTTAAAAAAAAAAAAGAAAAAAAGTTTTTTTCAGCACCCGGCGCTCGGTGACAGTTCTCACGCTAGGCAAGGCGGCGAGACGATGAAATTCGGTGTTCCCATCCTGTACGTACCAGCAGCACTTCAGTTCTTGCTGGTCCCCATCGTTGGATGGCTGATGTTTCCCCCTAGGAGAAAAAAAGAAAAAGAAAAATCAATATTTCTGCTCGGGAACCTCACAAAAAAATCTTATTTCTTCGTCTACGATTTTAGATCGCGCTCGAACGCCAGGGAGAAACCGCAGCATCTGACCGAGGGTCCTCCGCCGTCATCGCGAGCGGTTTGTGGGCGCAAACCACAAGGCGAAGGCGGATTGAGGTCACGGTCTTCGAGGAAGAAAAGCGGGTCAGAGGCGGAGGAAAAAGCTGAGGGGATCCACACCGGAGCCTGGGGAAGAGGGCTGGAGGGTTTTGAGCGTTTTCAACGCTGAAAAGAAAGCGAGAAAAACCAACTCGGTGTCTTTTTGTTGCCTTTTGACTTAAGATCAAGAGTAGAACCGGCTTAAAACCCGATGATGCTTCTACCGGGAGGATTATCGCTTCCGTCCCCACGGATAGACCGGGTCTAATAGGATCAGAAGAGTTTAAATAAAATAATAATAAAAAAAAAAAAATGGGGAGATGCAACTAAAGCCTGGAAGAGGTGCCCAACGTACCCCTAGTATCACCCGATGGGAGGAAATCCTCCAACACTCGAAGGAGGGACGAGCTTAATTATCTAATTACCGCTTGTGAAATTAGGAGGGTGGGGAGATGATGGAGGAGGTGGCCCAGAGATCATGGGGAGTGTTGAAGGTCAAGGTCAGATGGCTTGGAGCAACCTCATCTAGTGGCAGATGTCCCAGGTTGGGCTGGATGGTCTTGGAAGGTCCCAAACCCAACCCAAACCCTTCTGTGATTTTTCAGACAGGGCTTGGAGCACCTTCATGTCATTGAAGATGTCCCTGCCCATGGCAGGAGGTTGGACTGGACGATCTTTGAAGGTCTCAAACCCAACCCAAACCCTTCTGTGATTCTACAGACGGGGCTTGGAGCAACCTCATGTCGTGGGAGATGTCCCAGGTTGGGCTGGACGACCTTTGAAGGTCCCAAACCCTTCTTTGATTCTATGGATGGGGCTGGGAGCAACCTCATGTCGTCGGAGATGTCCCGGGTTGGGCTAGACAATCTTTGAAGGTCCCAAACCCAACCCAAACCCTTCTGTGATTTTTCAGACAGGGCTTGGAGCACCTTCATGTCATTGAAGATGTCCCTGCCCATGGCAGGAGGTTGGACTGGACGATCTTTGAAGGTCTCAAACCCAACCCAAACCCTTCTGTGATTCTACAGACGGGGCTTGGAGCAACCTCATGTCGTGGGAGATGTCCCAGGTTGGGCTGGACGACCTTTGAAGGTCCCAAACCCTTCTTTGATTCTATGGATGGGGCTGGGAGCAACCTCATGTCGTCGGAGATGTCCCGGGTTGGGCTAGACAATCTTTGAAGGTCCCAAACCCAACCCAAACCCTTCTGTGATTCTACAGACGGGGCTTGGAGCAACCTCATGTCGTGGGAGATGTCCCAGGTTGGGCTGGACGACCTTTGAAGGTCCCAAACCCTTCTTTGATTCTACGGATGGGGCTGGGAGCAACCTCATGTCGTGGGAGATGTCCCAGGTTGGGCTGGACGACCTTTGAAGGTCCCAAACCCTTCTTTGATTCTACGGATGGGGCTGGGAGCAACCTCATGTCGTGGGAGTTGTCCCAGGTTGGGCTGGACAATCTTTGAAGGTCCCAAACCCAACCCAAACCCTTCTGTGATTTTTCAGAAGGTGCTTGGAGCACCTTCACGTCATTGAAGATGTTCCTGCCCATGGCAGGAGGTTGGATTGGATGATCTTTGAAGATCCTTCCAACCCAAACCCTTCTGTGATTCTACAAACGTGGTTTTGGAGCAACCTGGTCTAGTAGATGAAGGTCTGTTCCAGCGCAAACCCTTCCATGATGCTACGGACGGGGCTTGGAGGAACCTGGTCTACTGGAAGATGTCCTTGACCATGGCATGGGGGTTGGACTGGACGATCTTTGAAGGTCCCATCAACCCGACCCAAACCCTTCTTTGATTTTACAGAAGGGGCTTGGAGGAACCTGACTGAGTAGAAGACGTCCCAGCCCATGGACTGGATGATCTTTGACAGTCCCATCACCCCAAACCCTTCTGCGATTCCCCAAAACACGGCGGTTGAGATGATTTTTTTTTTCCAACCTGAGAGCGGAAGATTTTCCAGCTTAGGGCAAAAAATCCAAACGAAGCCACGGGCGGGTGACACCGTGGGTCATCGGAACAACCCGAGGAGCACGGCCGTGGCAACGTCTCCTCCGCTTTGATGTCTGGATGGTGCGGTTCTACCAGTTCCCCCGTTAGATTGAACCACACGCCAGACAAAGGCTGCCATGCTCTTGGGTGCTTTGCTTTCCAAAATTTTGCTTTCCAAAAAACTTTGATCTCAAAAAAACCGACTTTTCACCCTGCCACGAGGTCACCAACAGCACCCAAGTCACCAGGTCACGCAAGCCGAAGGCCACGAAGAAGAAAAATTGGTGTTTGTCCCTAAATGCAAAGATTTTGGGGAATTTTTGGAGTCGGTTTGCAAATTTTTGGACTCGTTATTTCCCACGGGATCGTCACTTATCATCAACGCGTGTCATTCCTCAAGGTGAGACTCACGCGGGTGTAAAGGGCGGAACGGCCGCAGCACCGGTGCGATGCAAACGAATGCTGCCGAGCCGCCGTCAAACCTTTAATTACTTCAAATAATTACTCAGCGCTCAATTCCAAGGAATGCAGTTACTCCTCGGGAGCGTGAACGATGCTCGGGGCTGTTTTCACGGCTTTTTCCGCTGCTCCACCTTCAACACTGCTCTTCCTACCGCAGATTTTCCTCAATTCTCGCCGTTTATCCTCATTTTGGAGGGTGAACCCAGTTGGGTGCTGAGCACCCGGACCCAGTGAGACACCGGAGAACTCATCCGATGGAACCACGGCACCAGGACGGAGGGATTATCTCCCGGTTGGAAATTTTCTCACGGCATCCCAATAGCGGAAATTCCCCAAAATGGGTCATTTCGATTTTTTTCCGAAGACCAATTTAAGCTTTGAACCATCTGGGTCCGAAATATTTAATCTCGTGCAACAGATGGGTTATCCTTGGGCGCGTGGCATGTCTCCCCGGCCGTTCCGAGCCCTCTCGTGGACGGAAAACCATTTTCTCAATTTTTTTGCAAAAAACAGAAACCCATGGAATTGCGAAGCCGCTGATTCCAAGACCAAATCTCCAACAGCAGTGTGTTGGAAGGGTCGGTGTGGAGGATCGATCCCGCGCTGTTTCCTGCGTTAATCCTCGGCGCAAAGTGGGGAATTAATTAATTGCAGGATGTCAAGAACATCGTCCGAGGAATTTCTGCTGAATTTGGTGAAATTCCGGTTTGCCTGCCGGAGAAGTCGCCTTTTTTCCTTCTGTCGGCTTCCTTTCCACCCCAAAATTTTAGAAATTAGACATGAATGAGTTGAAAAAAATCACCGTGACTCATTTCCCCTCCTCTTCATCCTGCAGATCAGCTTCATACCTTTAAAATTAAATTTTATTAAAAAAAAAAAAATTTTGGAAGCGCAGTGGTGTTAAGAACGGATTTCAGCGGAGATTTTCAGCCTAATGAAGCGACGGCCTTTCACCTTCGCTCGGGGCGTGGGAAGGGGAAAAGTGGTGTCGAAGGGCGTTCGCTTTCGTTTTCTCCCCAAAATCCCTGAGTCAGGAGTTACTCATTTACGCCACGTAAAGTCCAGCCCGGAGAACCAGGAAGAAACTGGGATCCGCTCTGTTAATTCCCAGTAAAGCTGGGGGGGTGGAATTTAATTCTTGTTTCCTCTTAAGAGGCTGGCATCAGCCCCAAAAAGAAGGAAAAAAAATTAAAAAGAAAGAAGAAAAAAAAGGAGAGAAAAGAAAACGGGAG